GTGTGTGTGTGTGTGTGTGTGTGTGTGTGTGTGTGTAAAACACAGAAAAGAAGAAGGGAAAAACCATGGTCATTGCTGTTCATTCAGTAACCACTAGCAAGGCATTATACTGTCCATTGTAAGAATGCAAAGAGATAGCATTTTTAGGATTTGGATAGGCCTCTCACCCAACTAAACTACTTTCCCAATGCTTGACTATTAGCTACAACATTCCTACCAAGTGGTCCCCAGCCTAAGCCTAAGTGGTTCCTAAGGTAGTACAAAACCCTGCACAGTCCTGCACCATCCTCGCAATTGTTCCTGTGCCTGAGCACATTGATGCAGCAGCCACTGTGTCCCTCCATCTCATTAAGGACCCTCCTCTTTTTCACCACCCCTCCACTTTACCAAATGTCCACTTTACCAATGTCCTTCGCTAGGCATTGGTCTTCCCTTCCCTAAGGTAGCTCATTATATCTTTGGGAAGCTCTGTAAGTTTTATATGTTTCTCTTATATACGTCAAAATGTTTTTCTGTCGCTTTCATCTCTTGGTCCAGAATGGAGGCATTCTAAAGAATTTCCCATCTTCTTTCACCTGATAGCTCTTAACACCATTAAAGGTAGCTTTCATGTTGGAGTTAGTTATAGCCCTTACCCTCAGATAATTTACCATCTGATCTCTAGATCTATCCCAGTTTTCCTCCAAGTGTGCTGTCCGTCCTTCTGCTATCTTCCTGTTCTAGCGTTCCTTGTTTTATTAGCTTTTTCTTTCGGACCTTGTTATGCAGAGATTGCTGCCCTAAGGTATATTATGCTTTATTCCTCATCAATTTTCTCTCTCTCAAAGAACATTTTTTTTTTTACTTTAAAAAAAATTATTTTATTGGGCTCGTACAATGCTTATCACAATCCATACATCTATCCATTGTGTCAAGCACATTTGTACATTTGTTGCCATCATTATTCTTAAAACATTTGCTTTCTACTTGAGCCCTTGGTATCAGCTCCTCATTTTTTTTCCCCTTCCTCCCGGTTCCCCCTCCCTCATGAACCCTTGATCATTTATAAATTATTTTGTAATGTCTTACACTGTCCAACATCTCCCTTCACCCACTTTTTTGTTGTCCATCCCCCAGAGAGGAGGTTATATGTAGATCCCTGTAATCAGTTCCTCCTTTCTGGCCCATATTTGCTCCACTCTCCCGGTATTGCCACTCTTACTACTGGTCTTGAAGGGATCACCCGCCCTGCATTCCTCCTGTTTCCAGTTCCTATCTGTACCAGTGTACATCCTCTGGTCTAACCAGATTCGTAAGGTAGAATTGGGATCATGATAGTGGGTGGAGAGGAAGCATTTACGAACTAGAGGAAAGCTGTATGTTTTATCGGTGCTACACTGCATCCTGACTGGCTTGTCTCCTCCCCGCAACCCTTCTGTCAGGGGATGTCCAGTTGCCCACAGATGGGCTTTGGGTCCCCAATATGCACTCCCTCATTTGCAATGATATAATTTTTGTTTCAAAGAACATTTTGAAATACCTGGTAATCCTAGCTTCTTCAGTGATAACATAAGTACTTGTTTTTAGATAAAAGCTCGTGCATGTGACCAGAGGCAGAGAAGGTAGTTTTGTAGCTTTGGAAACTTGTAGCCCAGATCTGTTGACAAGGTAGTATCACTCTCATATTTTGAGGAAGCACAGCGTTAGAAGCCCGTGCTCTGTTTGCTGGCCTTCTCGGACAGCCTGGCTAACTTTCACAGGCTTTAGAGCCTCCAAGTGATTTGATTTCTAGCAGTGTGACTTGATAAAGTTACTGGACTTTACTTTCTGTGTAGCATTCTGATAATTATTTAGATCCTCGCCAGAAAAAGTGATGTTAAATATTTGAACTGTTTTTAATCTATCTGTTAGTTGTGCCTGTTTCCTCAAAACTGATTCTCAAAGGTGGGAGACCTTGTTTTATTCACCATTGTACCCCACATACCACATTGCCTGTATATAACAATTAACGTTTATAAAAAGAACCCAGGAGTGTTACATAATGGTTACACATTGAACTGCTAACTGCAAGGTAAACAGTTCAAAATCACTAGCCGCTCCTCAGGAGAAAGACTGGACTTTTTACTCCCATAAAGAGTTTCAGTCCCAGAAACTCACAAGGGCAGTTAGTTCTACCTTGTCCTGTAGGGTCGATGTGAGGCAGTATCGACTTGATGGTAGTGAGTTTGGTGTTTTGGTTTCTAAAAGTAGCCCTAATTGGTACAATGGTTAATGGTTTAACTGTAAACCAAAAGTTTCATAGATTGAACCCAACCAGCAGCTCCAGGGGAAAGATTACAACCTAGAAACCCCTGTGCGCCAGCAGTTCTACTCTATCACATGGGCGCTCGTTGTGTCAAAGGTTGGCTTGATGGCCCCTCACAACAACACAGTGAATTAATGATTAATTACAGATTTTTAAACAAATAAAGTCCAATTTCCTATTTAAACTCTCGTACTGTATCACAAATTGTGCCATAGGAATATATCGTGGATTGTCATTTATTTAATAATGACTGCAAGTTTTCTCACTTAGAAAATTTTCCAAATTCTTCCTTTTATATAATCACCATATTTCCTGATGAATGCATACAAAAACAGTAAGGTACTGCTGTATCTTTTGTTGATCCTGGTTGATCCAAAGAATCTTCCTGTGCAAAGGTAGATAGATAATCAATCTCTCCTGTTAATGTCTTATAATTTAGTTCTCAGTCAAAAGTTCTTATCCATTTGTCACCAGTAATAATCAACTATTTTCAGTCTAGAACATATTGTCTGAGAATATATTTCTTATCTGTATGTGTAAATCATTTGAGAGTGTGGTATTCTCAAAAGGACCAGTTATTTGTAGTTATTTAAAATGCATTTTAACTTGATGCTTTTCCTCCTGTGCTTTCTGTGAGATAAAAACACCAAATATATCAAACTCTTGAAAGTTTAGATATCATATATATCAGAGGTCTGCAAACTATGTCACTGAAAGGCCAACCAAAAAAACCCAGACCCATTGCTATTGATTCCAGATCGCAGCAACCTATACAAATATCCGAAACTAACTCTTTATAAGAACAGCCTCATCTTTCTCCCATGGAGTGGCTGAAGGGTTTGAACCTTGGACCTTAGGCTTGCAGGCCTTATTGTCTCTGTCACAACTATTGCAGTAGAAGAGCAATCAATGACAATACATAAACAAATGACCACAACGGGGTTCCAATCACACATTTTTGTTTCACTAAATGTCATTCTATTTCTTCCCAATTCATTTGGAAATGAAAACACATTCTTAAGTCTTATCCATACTAAGAAAAGGATAAGCTGGGATTTGGCCCGCCCGTCAGAGTTTGCTGACCCCTGATATAGACCAGAGAACTAATTGATTCTATTTTCTGACTTGGGAATGAATACTTTGAAAGTTATAATTATAATCTCAGCATCTTCATTCATTTCTCGGTTATGATTACAAATGGAAAACAAAAGACAGTTCAGGTGTTCCTATTTCCCAGGCAGTCCGGTACACCTGAGCTGCAACCTAAACTATCTGTAACCACCACAGCACTCTGGCCTTTGTCACTTTTCCAGCTTACTGTACGTTGACTGTGCTTTTAACTTTTTCATTGACAAATACTACCATTTAACAAAACACCTCTGCCTCCATTTCCCCCTAAGAAGTAAAAAAACAACCCCAAACAACCTTCTCTTAGCCAGGTTTCAGAGACACCTAATAAGCATAGTGAAGAAAGTAAAATGATTTTCACTCTGAGTTTGGGTGGACAGCCTTGGTCCTTCAAGTAGTTGTATAGACCTAAAGCTGAATAAGTAGCTAAGGAAAGAAACCCTTTCAGAAGTTTACCTCTTCCTCATCATTACTTTCAAAAGTAAAATTTTAAAATTCTCTAAAGGGAACCCCATTATTCAAGGCCTATGCATGCATTATTTACCAATAAATTATAATAAGGTTACATTTATGGAAGTATCTTTGCTCCCTATTTGACGTGGTTTGATCTGGAATAGCTTTGGGAGGTGTACTGTCTAATGACCCCCTAAAGTTGTGTTCCTTGAGTTCCCTTGTCCAGGATCCTTTAGCTCTAAGGTTAGTGTAAGAAATTATTTCTCGGTTAAAAGTTCAGCAAGATATTTGAACCTAAAAAAATCTGCTGAAGAATTGATCTTTTAGAACACTCTCTGATATTATTTCTTAAGTTATGTGCTCTGTTTAATATGTAAACTTTCCACAAATAAATCTTACTACAAATCTGATTATGATTGTTCCTACTCATTAAAGAAATAGGAACTAGCCGTGTTGTCCAGGAGCTTTGAGAGAGCAGTGGTTAGAGCTTTTGGCTTGGCTGCCAACCAGAAGCTTGGTAGTTTGAACCCATTTGTGAAAGAAAGCTTACAGCCTTGGAAACTCCATGGAGCAGTTCTTCTCTGTCCTAGAGGGCCACTGTGAGTCAGAATCAACTCAAGAGCAGTGGGTTTAATGATGTATGAGGAGCCTAGGTGGTTTAGATGTTAAATGCTAATCCAGAGGTCGGTGGGTCAAACCCACCAGCCACTTCACTGGAGAAAGATGTAGCAATCTGTTTCCATAAAGATACAGCCTGGGAAACCCTAAAGGTCAATTCTGTTTTGCCCTATAGGGTCACTGTGTGTTGGAATTAACTGCCAACACATTGATGGGGAGTGCTGCACATAACGCCTACCCACTCTGCTCCAGCTGATCAGCAAGGGGTGGCTGTCAGTCAGTCTTCTGAGAAATTTTCTCTCGTTTCTCCATATTTCCATTGTTTTCTCTGAAGCCCAAGAA